TGATAACGCTGTACAAACAGACGACGTGAAGTTCCTCTGCAGGTTTTTTGTCAACTGTCGCTTCGTGACATCACGTTAAACTTTGGTCAGTCACGGAAGAACTAATCGCATCTGTAGACTCGACCCGAGCGCCCTCAAGTACCGCTCATCTTTTTATTCTCACCGCTTTGAAGCACTTCTTCGTCAAGCTTTCGGTGCGCCCGTGTACATTTCCTTTACGTACGGCATGGGGGGAACTCCGATGCACCGCGACTTGCTGTACATAATGTAGTTAAAAAATGTAATAGCTTGTAAATATTTGTTCTTTCTTAAACTGATTTTTTTTTTCTTTTTAACCACGAACAAACGGGAGTCGTTTTTAAACAGGTATGAGTTTGTCCGTCGCGATAGCGCACGTGGACACCCAATCATTTTGTATGTTGATGTTTGAATACGAAAATCGTTGAAAATAAATAAAAAGACAAATCAAATGTTGTAATCTGAGTGGCGTTTTTTTTTTTTGTTAATTTATATTCATTTTCCTTTTTTTTTTTTTTCACTCGTTTTGTGAATCTCGTAGGAAACATTCCCGGATATTTATGTGGAAATAAACACGATAAAGCCTTTTGTTAAGGCTTCTTGTTTATACGTATTGTGTCGTGAATATGAACGGTGACGTCTCCGGCTGGTTTCTCAGCCAACTTAGTGAGGTATTAAAGGACTGATTGATTGCCTCTACTCTAGTTAATTATTACCATTACCTTGAATTTGGATTTAAAACCTTGAATTTGTTCCAGTCTGTTGTGTTTAAAGTCAATAACTCTCAATAATAATAATAATAATAATAATAATAATAATAATAATAATAATAATAATGATGATGATGATTTAATAATTTTTTTTTAAGCAATCATTTGACTTTTAAAAAAATGAAAGGCCTTGAGTCAGGTATGAAAAGAAAAGACTCTACTTGAATGATTGAACTTTGTGAACAGATGATGAAACAGTAAACCGGTTTGTGGAAGACAACTGCTTTGCGTAGGCAGGAAAAATAGCAGTAGTTTGAAGAAGAAGTAGAAGAAAAAAAGAACAACTGGGTGGAGCGGGGCTTAGTTAAAATTTAAAATAATAATTATGCTGTCTGCCAAAATGGTTTACTGATGAGATCTCGCAAACAATAAAAGGTGATTAGTCAAGTGCGGAGCCACCCTTGTTGTTATAGTGATACGCTGATACACTGTAGCATGTGTACAATAGACAAACGTGACAATTATAAGATGAATGAACCACTACACCCTTGTTATTATTTTTTTTTTGGTTGGTTTATTTTCCCTTTCTTGACACTTTTGAGGCATGTTAGTACGGGTATGTACCATGCCCTCCACTTTATTGTGTATATTAAATAACAAAAATACTCTGCTCTCATGGATATCAACCAATTATAAACACAACACAGGTTTATAAAATTATATATATATATCTGTTAAATATAGGTGTGCAACAACCTATATTATTGGCAGCCCTATGAATTCATATGAGAAAAATATATGTGAAGTATATTCCCATTGATATTTTTAAAAAAAAATTATAATAATTTAGTACACCTGGTACACATGGTTCAACCATGACTTCCTGTTCCACAGGGGTATAAATATGAGGTAACACACAGGCCAAATTCCCTTAGTCTTTTATAACAATGGGTAAGAGTGAGGAATATAGCTGTGATGTGCAGCAAAAGGTTGTTGAGCTTCACACAATGTGAAGTGTCTATAAGAAAATAGTACAAGCATTGAAAATGTCCATTTCCACCATCAGGGCTATAATTAAGAAGTTCCAGTCAACTGGAGATGTTACGAATCGACCTGGAATTGGATATGTGTCTATATCGTCTCAACGCACTGTGAAGTGGACGGTTCGAGTGGACGAAAAATCTCCAAGGATCACAGCTGGACAATTTTAGAAGTTAGTTAGGGTCAGAAAGTCTCCAAAACTACAATCCGAAGTCACCTGCATCACCACAAGGTTCTGTGGTCAGATGAAACCAAAATAGAGCCTTTTTGGCAATAGTCCCCTGACCTGAACCCCATAGAAAACCTATAGAGTGAACTGAAGAGGAGAGTCCACCTGCATGGACTTCAAAATGTGGAAGATCTGGAGAGATTCTGTATGGAGGAATAGATCGGATATAGAAAGAAACCCAGGAAATTTTCAGCCATGGTCAAAAGTCACAGAGATCACATTTATTCCCACATTCTGATGTTAAACTAAAGCGCTCGACCTGCATCTACATGACTTCATTCTGTGCTCATTTCGCCATTTATTCTCCAACCTCATCAGGCGTTATAGAAGACTGGGAGATAGGGAGCCAGCACAAACTATTGACTAAAAGCATGCCAATAATTGTTGCACACTTTTTGCAATTAGCTGATGTCCATGAGAGCTGAGTATTTTTGTGAATATATAATATATATTTTTTTTAAAAAGGGCCTTCAATAAATCAGAGCCTTCACAGCTCCGATTTACCAATAGAGAAAGATTCCAACTCTTTGTGCTAGCTCCTGACTGTTGGGTCATAAACTGTTCGTTGTTCATTCCTGCCGCATTATAAGTGATTAGAGCAACTTGAGAATCCAGTTAAAACTTGCCCCATGATGAGCTTCACTGCACAATAAAAGAGGCTTTTCAACAAGGTAACAATACACGTGTGTTATAAATAACTCCAGTAAGTGCTCAACAACATAGTTAGGTTTTATTTATATATATATATATATATATATATATATATATATATATATATATATATATATATATATATATATATATATATATATGCATTTTAAACAAAAGCATGTCACAATTATTGCCAATTATAGGAATTCTTTTGAACAAAATATAACCAAAGCACGTTCTCACTTTACTTTAGGAACCGGGAGATAAATATGAGTTGACACAAACGCTTAATTCCCTTAGACATCCATCAACCATGGGAAGGACTACAGAATACATAAACGCACTGCACCAAGTGCTGGCCTTCATAAATCAGGCAACGGCTAAAATGGTAACAAACACTCAAGATGGGTTTGGCGTAAAAAAGTAGGATTCTTATACACAAAAGAACCTAATCCTGACCAGTGGAGGATCTGTGATGATGTGTCTGCGAGTAGTTTTTCCTCCAAAGGCCCAGGGAACCTTTTAAGATACACAACATCATGGACTGCATGAAGTAACAGGATATTTGAAATGGCTGCCTCCACCAGGAAGTTACAACTGGGTCGTGTTGAATCTTTCAGCAGGACATGGATCCAAAAACATACGTCTAAATCTACACAAAGATGCTTTCGTGTCCCCAGAATCGAGCTTCTGAGGTGGCCGTCCCAGTCCCCTAAAAACCTCAAAACAGATGGAGAACTTCCACAAGAGAAGATCCAGGTTTCTCTTCGGACTCTCTCTGTAGAGATTCTGTAACAGTGTGATTTCCTCAGTTTCTTGGTCTGTAATCTCATCATGCATTATAGGAGTCTCAGTGCTGTTATACTAGCCAACTTTGTAAACGTTTACACACCATACTAATACTTATTGACGTGTCCAAAGTGTCCATAGTGTATGAATGGGTGTGTGAGTGTGTATGTGATTGTGTGCCCTGTGATGGACTAGCACCTTGTCCAGGGTGTACCCCACCTTTGCCTGATGCTCCCTGGGATACGCTCCAGGTTCCCCGTGACCCTGAAGATGGAATAAGCGGTAGAAGATGGATGGATGGATTATTAATATTTCATGCATTGTTCTGCTGCCACATGATTGACTGATTGTATCGTTTCATAGTTTTTATTTTATTTCTTAGAGTAAACTTGCTTCAATAAAAACGAAGCATCTTTACCAAGATTGCGAATAACTCGTGTGCGGATGCACATATCTTCCGTACTATATCATACTATACATCTGCCCAGCCCTCTAACCTGCTTCCTCTTCAGATCTTCTTAAGTTTCGAACGTGCCGTAAAAGAGTTAATCATTCTCCTTCTACTAAAGTGGCAGATGCTATAAAAACTGTTTTGACCTTCTTATTTTTTTTCTCCATTTCTCGGGAGCCATAAACCTTCAGGTGAAAAACAACTGCACAGTTTTCTTACAAACTAAGAGCCAAAATGCTGCATTAAAAATAAATAAATAAATAAATAAAAAGACTTACTACACACGTTCCTTCTTCATCTGTTATTATTTTTGTTAATACTGCAACTACTGTGAAAATTTGAAGTGGATGTGCATGGGAAATATAAACTGTAGCTTATTAGCATTATGGAGATACAGCTAGAATAGCATGGAACTCATCGTTTAAAATATGCACAGGAGCGGTTTGTCAAATTCATAAATATTCAGAAATTATTATTATTATTATTATGATGATGATGATCAAAAGTGCAAGCTGAGGTAATTTAGACACAATGTGATTGATGATTGGAAGAAAATATTACTTTTTCTTTAAAAACGCAACTGGAAGTAGTAAACAAACTTAAGATGCATGACTGAAATCAATTCAATAGAAGTGCACAATCCATAAAGAGAAGTAGAAGTGAAACCTGAGGGCAAATTTCAGAGACTTTGATTTTGAGCTGAACCGACACACTGGGACAAATGAACATGACGCGCCCTCTATTGGTCACTCCACTGAACTGAAGATGTCTACAAGCCTAAATCTTCATACTGGCGTACTAAATAATACACCACATACTGTATACTATGACGTATTATTAATATTTATATTAACCTACTGTAGTAAAGGTTTTTGGACTTCTATCCATGTGAGGTCCAAAATTCCGAGACCACTAAAGAAAACCCTTCTTGCAATGTCCATTCATCCATCCTCTACCTCTAAGCTTACTCCTTTTCAGGGTCATAGGGAACCTGTGGTTGACGCACGAGGTCCATCGCAGGGCACGATCACAAACACACAGCCTACCATGCATGTCTTTGGACTGGGGGAGGAAACCGGAGTACTTGGAGGAAACCCCCACAGCACGGGGAGACACACAGTGGGAATCGAACACACGACCCTGTAGTCACGAGGCAAACGTGCTAACCACTAAGGCACCGTGCACTTACAAATTAGATCATCAATAATGATATGAACATCTCATTCAAGTGATTTTCCAGTCAGCCAATCACGTGTCAGTAGTATAATACAGATACAGGTCATCAGAATGGGGCAGGGGAGTCTGATCTCAGTGACTGGGCTGACTGTGGCAGAATGACTGGTTTGAGTATTTCAGAAAGTTCTGCAGGCCTTGTTGAGGAGATAAGTCAGAGGAGGACGACCAAACTGGTTCAAGCTGAAAAGGAAGGCTAGAGTAACTCAAATAAGCACTCTGTACCAATCGTGTTGAGCAGAAAAGCATCCATCGATGCATTTAGTACATGTATGGACATTAAACCTTGAGGCTTAATGTCTACACTACACTAGCAGAGGATCACGTCGGGTTCCTCTCCACTCAGCTATGAACAGGAATCTAATGCTACAGCGGGCACGGGCTCACCCGAACCGCACAGATAGGACGAACATCCTGGTCTTTTTCCTATTCTTCAACTGTCCAGTTTGGGTAACCCTGTACCCATCGCACCGTGCGTCAGATTCTTCATCTCGGCCGACAGGAGCGCAACCCGGCTACTCTTGTAGCTCATCCGCCTAAAAGGTTTGGCGTGTCGAGATGCTTTTCAGCTTACCGCGATCGCAAATAGTGCTTATTTGCGTTTTCCACCCAAATCCAAATCTCTCCAAAAATCACCGACATGATATCTAATCATTCTTCATCTCATGGTAATCATCAGTGAAAAAAACCAACGTGAACCCAAGAAAAAACCCAAAAAAACACTTTATTCTATAAAAGGCGTAGAGAATCACGACTGTACAGGGGGAAACTGACTTTTAACACCATTTCTCACAGTATCAAAAAGCTTGTGTTCGCCTCGCTGATCTTTACACATTTGTTCTGTACAAATACAAAAGAAATAACATTAATTACTTGTATTATTATCATGATAACTGCATTGCACTGAGTAATATAGTACTGGCCCAGAAGTTACTGCATTCAATATAAAATACCTATGATTCAGACCTTGAAAAACAAACACAAACAAACAAACAGGGGAAAATAGAGCGAGAAAAATGTGGATTTGTGATCAAAAACACATTCGCATATACTCACGCAAAGCAAACCCAATATATGTGTGTGGTTTATTTTTTTGTTTTTTTTAAATAAATGTTTTGTTGAACTAAAACTGAAAATGCGTAAACATGCTTGAAAAAGATGTTCGGTTCAGTCACGAGACTTAAAATACAAGTAAAGGTCATAAAACGGGTCAATTTGAAAATAAAATTCATCTACAAGAGCTCCTACTAGAGGTTCCTGATGGCATTTCGGTCGCACAGAACCGAGACGGCGCACGTTTCATTTGTTCAACGGGTCGTTTATAGTACTGTGCGTATTTATAAATCGAGCGTAAATAAAGTCAGGTAGTAGCTGTTTTTTTTTTTTGTTGTTGTTGTTTTTTTTTTTTTAAACGTGCAAAGAATGGCTTTAATTGCACAGGAAATGCCACGCTGTTTAAGAGATGGATTATCAGTGCTTACAGGCCACATTTGTCAGGTCACCGACATGCTCAGTGACTTCACAAAGAAATTCTCTCCATGCAACACAGAACAAAACAAAACAAAACAAAACAAAACAAAGTTGCAACACATCAGATTAAAAAGGGATTTTTTTTTCTTAAAAAAAAAAAAAAAGACACATCGTTGAGCCAACAAAGGGAAAAAGAAAGAAAAAAAAATTTCACATTGTCTAGTCAGTGTTAAAAATAGAAATCCACCCGTTACGTTTATTCAGAACTTTGATTATATACAATATTTACACATATTCGTTAATTATTTATAATTGTCTGTATGCCTATGAACAGTTTATTAAAAAAAAAAAATTAAAAAAGGATCGCAATCGAATGCATATACTTTCCTACAAAGATGTGCTTAGGTTTAGAGTCGAAGCAAAGAGAATAGAACTGAGAATAGATCTGACGTCTGAAGATTGCACTGGATCAAAGATGATTTTAAATTGTTTATTTATTTATTTATTTATTTGAATCCCCCTCTCCCGAACATGCAGTCAACTCTTGAAGGCTGGATTCGAACACGCTGCGCTTAGCTTCCGAAACAAATAAAATAAAAGGCCTAACGCGCAAGTCTTCGTAATCTGCTAGCTGTTGAAATGATGACCGTGACAAGTGCTAGCGTGACGGGATGGAGACGAGGTCGAATAAATCGTCGTCTCTGAACGGGACTGTGCTCTACGATTTTTAATCCGATAATCGCCAAGAAAGTCGAGGGGAAGGTCCGGGTCTCGCTTTTGCATATTCGAGTGAAACCAGGGCTGGAGCTAAAACTGTTCCTTTAAGAAGTGGTTACTGTTGATCTATCATTTTTTTTTTATATATATATATATATATATATATATATATATATATATATATATATATATATATATATATATATATATATATATACACACACACACACACACACACATATATATATATATATATAAAGATGGTTGTTTGTTTTTAGATGTTGTCTTTTTTTTTTGCCTTACTTTATTAGGGGTCCCAACCCAGAACCCTGAGGATCTCCGCCAAACCAGATGCGCAAAATATATGAGTTGCACATTTACTTCACTTAAGGCTCTGATGGGCGTGAATAATATGTGCCTAGAACACACACCTCTACTATTAAAACTCTGATTAGGTTTCATAAAAAAACACACACACACACACACACACACACACACACACGGTTATCAAGCACCCGTATTTCCTATCCTAACCCCATTTGGATTTACTTTTTTTTCCCCTCCACAGCCTCAAATGCCAATTGTGGCAGAACATAAATAAAAAGGATTAAAAAAAATATATATATATATATATATATATATATATATATATATATATATATATATATATATATATATATATATATTAAATACTGTTACCAAGCCAAATATATTTTGTTTGTTTGTTGGTCTTGTGGTTGTGGACGATGCTTTGTTGTGATATCCCAACACAAAATTCCATAAGCTTTACAAGTTCAGGAACTTCCAAGTTTGCCGAAAACCTTGAAGTGAGGCCTTGATCTGTGATCTCTCTCTCGCTCTCTCTCGCTCTCTCTCTCAAAAAACCTCCAAAAACGAACAAAAAAAAATCAACAACGAAAAAATGAAAAGAATTAGCCAATATTTAAAAAAAAAAAAATTCACAGTCTTCGCTTTCTACCTCTCGGGTGGTGCAGGGAAGATAGTTGATAAAAGACGAAAAAATTTGTTCGTAAAATAGAGGGTAGGACCTATTTTAAAAAGGAAAAAAAAAATAAAAAAATACACGTGAACGTTCAAGCCACACGCAAGCATTCAAATGACTCAACACAACAGAGCTAGATCATGCAAACCCCCCAAAAAATATAATAATAATAATAATAATAATAATAATAAACGTCTATAAAGACTAAAATGTTCAGGTAAAACATACAAATCAAATGATCAGAAGAGACTCGTATTGTGTAAACTCGTTTCGTTTCTCTTCTCGCGTCCTCTCCGTCGTCCGTTCTGCTCGTCTCTCGTAATCGTGACGGGCTCAGACAAACCCTCACCTCTTCGGTCTGCTCTCAGCAGCGCATCTCACTGGTCCGGCTCCCCGCTGAAGCGAACGTCGAAACGGCGTGACCTGGACTAAATGAGAACGGGACGGACGAGCGGATTTCTTTTTTTGACGTGACTTTGTGGGAGAACGACCCCGAGAGACATGCGGCGTTTATCTTCATCGTATGCGGATCTGAGGAAGGAAGGAAGGAAGGAAGGAAGGGACAGCTTTACAGTTCTCTCAGCCCTTTCTGTGGGGGGTGGGGGTGGGGAGGGGGATTAGGGTGGAACCTCCTGAGGAGAAAATAGTGGGAAGAGGAGGCGGGGCTAAACTGAACCGGATGCGAAGCCGGGCTCACATCATGACGTGGCGGCGCCGGTGGAGGGCGAGATGGTCGGAGCGTGAGAAGCTGCGGTCGCAGTCAGTGCAGCGGAACGGCTTGATGCCCGTGTGCTTGCGAAAGTGACGCGTTAGCTCGTCGGAGCGGGCGAAGCGCCACGTGCAGCCCTCCCACGTACACTGATACGGCTTCTCTCCTAAAGAAAAAGCAAAGGGAAGTAGTTATAGGTCACAGATCAGGTCCTCTCGTCATCAGTTCATTCGTTTTTCTTTTTGGAAATAAAATGATCCACTTCTTCACCTCGCACTCGGATGATTAAAAAGGTTCACATTAGGGAAACCAACCTTTACGCTTCGTGAATTCATTCATTTTAACATAAAGCAATGAAGTTGAAGATCAAATCTAAAAACATATACAGACGTATTAGTGAAATCTCTAAAGCCCAGCAAAAAAGCAGAAAAATCATTTTTAGTATTAAAAAATGAATCCCTGCTGAGATATATATATAAATAAACCCTCATCGAATTTCTAATGGTTTTAATGGGAATTGGATTGGTTTTAATGGAAACTGTACTGGTTCCTGTGGGTCTCTACTGGTCTCAGTGGCGAGTTGAGTATTTTACAGCGCTATCCTCCCGCAATTAAATCACCTTCATATAACCTCACCGTGACGCCAGGGATAAATGCTATTCAATCGTCGCTATGGTAACCGCTCATTCCGTAGCCGTTGTTTTAATGCGCAATGAGTCTTTATGGATCACATATACAGTGGAGTACAGTGAAACTCTTTTCTTCGCATACTTCGTCAGAAAGTTGGGGTCAGAGCGCAAGGTCAGTCATGATACAGTGATTCCTGGAGCAGAGAGGGTTAAGGGCCTTGCTCCAGGGGGCGCTGTATCATGGCTGACCCTGCGCTCTGACCCCAACTTCCTCACATGATGGGGTATGCGAACAAACGAATTTCATATATACATGAAATTCTCATACGAAGTTGGGGTCAGAGCGCCAGGTCAGTCATTATACAGCGCCCCCTGGAGCAGAGAGGGTAAAGGGCCTTGCTCAAGGGCCCAACAATGGTGGCTTGG